TCATAAGGAAAAGGGGATGGCGTATTCTCTTAGCTACTTCCTGCTGTAAAGGGACGCTGTAGGTTTCAGGGGGAAGATCTCTCACTACTCTAAAGGGCCCCGTTGGCAATAGGAAACATGTAGACTATTGTGGAGATTGATTTTGGAATTTAGATGCACTGTTATCAGTTGTGCTTAGCCGAACATGTTCATATCCTTGAAGATGTATCATGGAAGTGTTGTAACCTAGAAGACACAAATTTCACTAACAAGTTAAAAGTACATGAGTCAAAAATTAAAAAGCAATAATATTCCAAGTAGAGGTTCTAATAGTGGCACAAATCAAGTTACAGAGCAAAGGTAGTTCTTAAAATAAAAGTCCTATAGAATAGCACTTTGTCTATTTTTTAGAGCCTCAGAAGCCTGACGGAGGGTTGCTAAGTCCAGTCGACTTAATAGCAATGAGGGTTTTTAGTGGCAGTATGGTGGTTAAATAGTAGAAAGATGAGACAGAGATAGCTTAATGAAGAGATTGTTTCTATAATGTAGAAGGGCTTTATTATAATAATTTACAGCGCTCTCTCAAGTTTTGGAATCAGAATGTGGTCCTACCAGTGGTTTGGAATACTGGAATAAAGTCAACCAAAATTTCTACAATGACGTTATCATCAGCAGTACACTTAAAATATCATCTTTCTTGGAAGATCATTATCAAAATACTGTTATTTAATGAAATTAAGATGTAGCATGCCAAGAGTGTTGCTTTTATGATTTTATTAAAATTATATTTTACGTAGTCATAAAACTGAAATATGAATTTTTATTTTACTAGTTAAAAAATTATTAAGTCCTGACTATATGAAAAGCATCATATACAGCAAGTCTTGTAACTTTAAAGGTTACAAATTCATGGATAATCCTCATTTTAAGTAAACTGACTTTATAGAATTTTCCAGTTTAGGAGAATTTCCTTATGCCCATCAGGGATTACTTTGGCTAAACTTTAAGGTCTTGACCTTTAAGCTGTGTTTCTTTCCCCATGTGTCATGTAGATAACAGTTGGGAGTTATTTACAGTAGAGACTCAATAGCCAATCAAAAAAGACTGGAAAAAGTATTTATAGACTGGGGAATTTGACTAAAAGAGCATAGCATTTTGGTCAGTATAATCTTGTGTGTGCCTTTGAGTCAGAACCACTAATAGCTGACTCTCCAGCAGGTTTTCAGAGGCAGTAATTTGTACAGGAGAATATTGCCTATCATCCTGTGAACCACCTTGTGAATTTGAACCTCATGCCTTTGGGATTGCAATGCAGCTTCTTATCCACTAGGCCCCAGAGCACCCTAATAAGTTCTCTGAGGTGGGAAAATGTCCCCAAAATTTTAAATACTCACATATTAGGAACATGACTATCTCAACTTTAAAAAATATGTAGGTATTCTATAATATTTTTCAATTTTATAATGAAAGTCAAAGAAAAACTGTTGCAAGGTAATTTTTTGGTACTAATGAAGAATGCAAAAAGAAGTGGGGAAAGGCAATGACATAGTAAAACACTAGGTTATATAATTCAAGTTGGTTAAACAGTAAAGGTAGGTACTCATTTTGTATTATTTAGAATTTGAAGCATCACAAAAATTAATAGCAGATTACACTAAAAGGTGGAGGCCAGAAAAGTCTGAAAAGTTCATTCTATTAAACCACTCCATTCTGTTCCTCATTCTCATGACCCAAAACCTCCCTTCTCTGTGTTTTTTTGTTTGTTTTTTAATTCCCCCTCTGGCAATTGGCTCTAAGGTCTTTGAGAAGCTCATTCAGCTGTTGAAATCATCACACTGGGTTGAGGCAGCTGGCTCAGCTCAGGAAACTAGCCCAAGCGAGTGGAGAGCCTCTTCTCCCTCCAAGGCAATTCTAATGGATCCTTCTTAACAAGTTCAGTCAGCACATGCTTCGGGCAACTTCATACCCTCAGTTTTACAATTTCTGAATAGAGTGAATGTTCCCCAATTAGACATAATATCCATATTGATCAAGTAGCTGAGCTTTAGTGGGGTGGAGTCTCAAGGATATCAAGGGATAGAAAAGCCATTTGGAAAAATAAACCCTTGATACCAATATTTATAAACATTTTAATATGACGTTTTATGTGTTTATGTGAGTACTGGAATGAATACACTTTAAAGTTTTAAAGTGAGTGCAATAGCTTCTTATTACTTCAATAATAAAGTACTAGTGATACTATATATTATGTATTATTTGAAGAAGAGACTATGTTATGTATTAATTACTATAGTCTTTAATATGGATAGAAGCTGTTTAACAAAAAACCAAAAATTCTCACTACTGAGCCACTTGGCAGCACTATGATGGATAGAGAAGAGATTAACGTTGTTAACAATTTCAGCTTGCTCAGTACCACCATCAACACTTTTGGCACCAGCAGTCAGGAAATCACAAGATGGATTACATTAGGAAAATCTGCTCTTGGGGAGCTCTCCAGAGCAATGAAGTTAGGTTAGAGATGAAGGTGTGCCTTATTCAGGCCATGGTATCTGCAGTTACTTACTATGCATCTTAGAGCTGGACCAGTGACTAAGGATGCCAGAAGAAGAATCAATGCTTTTGAGATGTAGGGCCAGAAAAGAGTATTGAAACAGACACCATGGTCTGCCAAGAGAACAAACAGGTCTGTTCTTGAGAGAGTGAAACCAAGTTTCTCCTTGGAGACGAGGATTTTGAAGCTCTGTCTGACATACTTTGAGCATACTTCCAAGAGGTACCACACCTGGCATGATGATGCCTGGAAGGATGGAGGGACAGACAGCCAGAGAGGAAGACCCTAGAAGAGATAGATTGACACAGTAACTGGAGTAATTGAGAGTTGGTGTTTCGGAGTCAGTGAAATTGTCTCAGGATAGGACAGGATTCAGAGCTGTTGTACATAGAGTCAATAAGAGTCACAGGAAACTCGATGGCACATAAAAACAACAATAATTTAATTGTAGGAGCTTTTTAGTCCAATTTTCTTTAAATTTTGGCAGTTTTTCTTAATACTGTTGTTTACCATTGGGTTGGAACCAACTCATAACTGACCCTCCAGGAGGTTTTCAGAGCCAAGCACATGAGTGGAGATTGCTCATCTTTCTCCTGCAAAGAAGCAGGCCTAATTGAACTGTGTCTTTGCATTGACAGTGTAATAATTCCTTACCTCCAGGCCACTAGAGCTCTCTGTTTTTCCTAATAGTGATAAGAAACTGTAGTGACTTATGAAAGAATTTTCAGAGCTTATTGGTTGAGAACATGTATTTTTTGTTGTTTACATATATCAAAATACTTTCATGTCTGTTTACTGGTTGCACAACTCTATTAAAAAAGACAGATGATACTACAATGTATAGATCTGAAAAAATTAGGAGTTACATGCTACAGAACTATGACTTAGTACCCAGGTCTTCTGACTTTGAATCTAGGTAAAGGTTTTTATTTTGAGAGACACCTCGAGGAGCCAGTTAAACCTGATGTTGTCTTCTGTCTTTAAAAGAACTATGTTGTCAAACAACTGTGATATATCATTATTTCACCCCAGTAACAATAGCAAAGTTCAACACAGGAGCAAACAATGAATGCTAGAGAGGTTGTGGAGAGATTGGGACCGTTATTCATTGCTAGTGGGAGTGTAAACCACTATGGATGGCAGTTTTGATACTTTCTTAATAAGTTGAAAGTAGAAATACCATTTGACCCAGCAAGGCCACTACTGGGAATATATCCTAAAGAAACCATAACTACCATCCTAATTGGTATATGTATACCCATGTTTATTGCTACATTATTTACAGTAGCAAAGAAATGGAAGCAACACAAGTGCCAATCAACAAATGAATAGATAGAAAAACTATAGTATATTCATATAATGGAATACTGTGCAGCATGGAAAAGCAGTGAACTCATAAAACATTATAAAGCATGAGACCCTGTAGGACATCATGTTGAGTTAAATATCTCTGACACAAAAGGACAAATACTGCATAGATTATAAAGCAGGTCTGACATGGGGGATTGGGAGGAGAATAGGATAAGACTGGATGACCATTCCATTGTGTTCCAATGAAGGAAAGAACTGAGTAAAAGGAATATGTGATTAGGCCTTATACATACAACAACAGTCCAGAGTAAGAGGTATATCATTGCAAAGAGGGCTAGGGTGGGTAGTGGGAGGTAAGTAACTGTACAACAATGAATGGATTAAAAGAAAAGTTAATTAGGGAAGGTGAATAGGAGGGGAAGGGGGTAAAATATGCAATGATGAATGAATGAAAATATAATTTATCTGTAAATGTTTGTTAAAATCACAATTAAAATAAAATTTTATTTAAAATAACCATGTTCTTATTTGTAACCTAATTTTAATAAAATATTAATGCAGTATTTTAATTTTAAAAATGCTTTTCATACTCAACCTAGATTTTACATTTACCTCTTTATCTTTTTCTTTTTAAAATTTTATCTTTTATTGTCATATATAACATTTCACTCTTTTTACTCTTTTAGTGTTCCTTTTGGTGACTATAATTATATTTATTCACACTATTGTGTAGCCATCATCAAGTTCCAAAACATTTTACCCACCCCAATAGAAACCCTGTACCCATTAAGCAATAACTTCCTAGTCCTGCCGTTTCTCAGCCCATGGAAGTCACCATTCTAGCTTTTTCTCTATGAAATTACTAATTCTAAACATTTCATATAAGTTGTAAATCATACTGTATTTGTCATTTTATTTTGGAGTGTTTTTAATAATTAACAGTTATTAAACTACAGTTATTTGATGTGTTTGGTTTTTTTAAATTTTTTTAAAATTTATTTTATTATTTTGTGTGTGTGTACTGTCAAATCAGATCTGACTGGTACAGGCGGAGGACATTGCTCCTCCTTCTCCAGCAGAGCATCTGGTGGATTCGAACCGCGTGTTTGTTTATTTTAAAGATGGTGTGTACCATCGTTGGAAGCAACCCATAGCTGACCCTCTGGATGATTTTCAGAGGCAGTAATTGCATGGGAAGAGATTGCCCATCCTTCTCCTGCTGTATGTATGTATGTATGTATACACACACACACACACACACATACACACTCATATTACTATTCGTATTACTAAGTAGAAAGATTAATTCATACTCTAAATACGTTCTTTAAAATAACAAAAAAAATGAGTCTTCTGTTATTAAGGCTCCTCTGAGAGAATCTCCTGTACTATCTCGTGATGCCTTACAGAGTACGCGTAGTATTGGTAAAGAGTAAAAAAAAAGGAAGAGAAACAAGCTGCTCTAACATTTGAGTATGAAACACCTTTTTTTTTAAGTGTTTCTTTGAAGTACAAGACACTTTCTTTACAAATTTAAATATTACTGTTCTTTTATTTTCCTTGTATTATAGAGTAGATGATGTGCCTCCCGGAATATCTCTGCTTCCTGATAATATTCTTCAAGTTCTGAGGATCCAGCTGCTACAGTGTGTGCAGAAAATGGCAGATGGATTAGAGGAACAACAACAGGCTTTGTCAATTTTGTTGGTCAAATTCTTCATTATTCTTTGCAGGTATATAGTTTAAAAAATATTTGTTTTAAAATAGATATTACCAAAATAATAGTGTATTTATTATTTTATATTATTTGTTCATATGAAGCCTTAAACTTGTATACATTTTTAATAAGATTATAATGTATTAGTTATTAGAAATATTGTTTTTAGCTATTACCTATCTACAGGGAGATTAAGCCAAGGTATATATGTATATAGATTAGATACAAAACTTATAGCAGACAAGGACAAGAAGGTTTTTTTTGCCACAAATTTATTGTACCAATATTTTCTCTGTGGATCTCACCTGTTAACATATTCACATTTTAATTTTTATTCATTACCATTTGTGTAAATACTATTTCTAGTCACTGATTTTATCAAAATGGTAATTCTGTAGATTTTTAAATTTTCCAGACGTATAAATTAAGTTGGTCATACTTAGATTTACCCTGTGGGTAAGTAAGGACTTATGCTGCCAGTCCAAACACAGGCAGTTTGAATCTATCAGCTACTCTGACAGATGAAGATGGGCATTCTCCTCCTATGCCATTTATAGCTTCTGCAAACTCACTGGAGGGTCAGCTTTGAGTTGGTTTTGATTTGACAACAGTAAGTGAGTGAGGTATTAATGTCAAGGTTTATTAGAAATACCCTTATTTATAAGATTTCTGATTCAAAAGACCCTAGGCATCTGAATTTTTAAATATATTCCGTATGAACTTTGTTCAAAAGAATTTGGAAACAGGTGGATTAGGAACTTCTTGAATTACTTTTTGTTGTTGTTGTCGTCATCCTATACTATATAATTTAGGCTTTTAAACAGTTTTTATTCTTAATTAATACATCAGTAGGGATTAAAGTGATATTTTTACATTTTTTAATTGTTTGCTCATTGCCTTTGATTGCAGGAATCATGATAAGATTTAGAATTACTAAATGTTTTTTCTGTAACTTAGATTCTCCCAGATACTTAGGCATATTTTAATTATCATGCTGTTCTTTATCCTTAAAATTTAATGTAAGAATTGAATCTGTTGAAGAAAAAAGGATTATGTAAATAGTAAAGCATGATTTGAGCTCGGTAATAATTTGCTGTATTTCTCCTGTTAATTACCTACCATAATATTATTGCAGGCAGAAATCCTGAAAATAATTCTTTTAAATTGATCATGTAAAGCTTTTGATAATAGAAGGAAGCATTGGAATGCTAAACATTTTTCAGGTGAAATTTTTTAATGTGGGATATACTCTTTGATGATAACTTTAATGTTCAATAGTGGCCAATTATAGAATATGTTTCTGCTTCTATATTTTTCAACTTTTTTGGTAAAAAATCAAAATAGCAAAATTTTATTAAAAAAAATATCTAAGAGAAAATTAGACCCAGAGCCATAATGTTGCAAAAATTGACAGTTTTCATGTTTTGCATCTTCATAATTGCATTTTTACCATTCTGAAGATATGTTTTAAATTTATAAAATCAATAACCTATGCTCTCTTTCATGAGCCACAGATTACAAAGTTGTACCTAAAATATTTAAGTAAATGAAAATAACATTACTCTTTGAAAGACTTGAATGGAGGCAAATTACCTTTGACTGATCAATTTAGTAGTTACAGTTGATTAGACAGCACTGAAAAACAACAAATTTAGTTCTAAACTTAATTTACGCCTATTTGAGTTAATAGTGTATCTTTTTCTACTTATTCTGCTTTTAGCCTTCTCATATTTTTTTTATTGTAACAGCGTTGCTGACATATAATTCATATCATTCCATTCATCCATTTAAAATATTCAATGGTGTTCAGTATTTTTCTAATTATATGGAACCACCATCACAGCCAATTAAGCACATTTCATCATCCAGAGATGAATTTTGTGCCTATTAACAGCGATTCCCTATTCTGTTTCTTTTACCTCTCAGCTTTTCTGTCTCTACATAAGTTTGCGCATTCTTGACATTTCCTATAAACAGAATCATAATCTTTAGGTTTTTATATCTGGCTTCTTTATTTAGCGTAATGTTTTTCAAAGTTCACCTGTGTTACAGCATGTAATAATACTCCATTTATTTATTTTTTTAATACTTCCTGTAGTTTTGAGACTGAGTATTGTTCCATTGTATAGCAACACAACATTTTATTTATTCCTTTATCAGTTGATGAAGTAGTAGATTTTCATTTTGGCTATTATGAGTAATATTTAAATGAAGATTCAGATACAAGTTTGTCTATATTCATTTTTAAACTATCTGAATCACAGTTCTCTCAAGAGAAGTATTTGTATCTATTTCAGATAGCTAGTAATGAAGGCTAAAAGAGACAATTTAATCTATAAAAAGGGTCATCATAATTCCTCACACATAGAAGACGTTCACTTTCTTTTATTTTTGCTATACTTAATGAGCCCCAACACAAATGTTGTTGTTGTTATTGTTGTTATGTGGCGTCGAGTCGCCTGCAACTCAGCGACACTATGTATAAGAGCCCTAAACTCTGCCCTATCCTGTGCCAATCTCACCATCTCCAACACACCTACCCCCATTACCAGTCACTGAATCAATCCATCTCATCGAGGGTCTTCCTCTCCTGCACTGTCCCTCCACCCTTCCAAGGATGATGTCCCTCTCCAAAGACTGGTAGCTCCTTCCAACATGTCCAGAGTATGTCAGATGAAGCTTCAGAATCCTTGCCTCCAAAGAGCAGCCCAGCTTCACCCTCTCCAGGACAAACCTGTTTGTTTTTCTAGCAGTCCATGATATTATATTCAATATTCTTCTCCAACACCACAGCTCAAAGGCATCAATTCTCCTTCTATCATCCCTAGTCATTGTCCACCTCTCTGATGCATAGCAAATGATTGCGAAGACCATGGCATGTATCAGGCACACCTTAGTCTCCAGAATAACATCTTTGCACTTCATTCAGCATTTTAGAGAGGTCTCTAAGGACAGACATTCTCATTGCAGTACGTCTTTTTTTTTTTTAATTTAGGTTGTTTATTTTTCATTTCAATGAACATCTACAGAGATTTTGGAATTCCATTCATTCATTGTTGCACCCTTCTCCCCGCACAAACCTCTCCCCCTTCCCCCCCCCCCCTTTGCTCTGAAAAGCAAAAGGAAAACTCCCTCATTGGTACACAATCCCACCCCCTATCCCCAAATATAATCCACTCTGCAACCCTCATTGCATACTCCTACGATAAAAATAATGCCCTAAAATATAATACTTTTAGACTATTCTCCCCCCCATAGACTTCAATGACGTAAACATATTTCATCCAGTTTTTCTCAGTCTTACCCCCACTCCGATGCTAGCCTCATTCTACAACAGTGGCACCATATAGCATTTGTCCCTTTGTGACTGAGATACCTGACTCAGCATAATGTCCTCCAGGGTCACCCATTTTGAATAATATTGCATGAGTTCCTTGTTTTTCAATGCAGCATAGTATTCCATTGTGCGAATATACCACAGCTTCTCTACCCCATTCATTTGTTGATGGGCATTTAGGTTGTTTCCAACTCCTTGCTATTGTAAACAAAGCCGCGATAAACATGGGTATACATATATCTACTTGGATGTCATTTATGGTCTCTTTAGGGTATATTCCCAGTAGTGGAATTGCTGGGTCAAATGGTATCTTTATTTGCAACTTTTTGAGAAAGTGCCACAATGCTTTCCACAGGGGTTGCACCATTTTACACTCCCACCAACAGTGAATAAGGGTTCCAGTCTCTCCACAACCTCGCCAGCATTTGTTGCTTGCTGTTCTGTTAAATTTTGCTAGTCTTACTGGAGTGAGATGATATCTCATGGTTGTCTTGATTTGCATCTCTCTCAGGGCTAGGGATTTTGAACATTTCTTCATGTGTTTGTTGGCCATCTGAATGTCTTCCTTGGTGAAGTGTCTGTTCATATCCTGTGCCCATTTTTCAATTGGATTATTCTCCTTGATCTTGTTGTGGTGCTCGAGTATTTTATAAATTCTAGATATAAGTCCCTTGTGTGACATGTCATTACCAAAAACTTTTTCCCAGTCTGTGGCTTCTGTAGTACATCTTTTAATTTCTTGGCTGCTGGTGCCAAGAGTATTGACTGTGGATCCAAACAAACCAAAACTATGAACAGTCTCAATCTCTTCACCATACATTGTGATGCTGCCAGTTGGCCCAGTGGTGAGAATCTTTGTTTTCTTGATGTTGAGTCTCAATCCACACTGAAGTCTGCAGTCCCTGACTTTCTACAGCAAGTATATTTTACAAGAAACATAAACATAGGCTATACACATGGATTTCACCTGACGGTATGCATAGGAATCAGATAGAATTGCCAGAGAACCTCAATATCAGCTGTGAAAACTAGGCCTGTTGCTTATTGTTGAAGAGATCACCAACTACTCATATGCAAGTTTAAGCTGAAGTTAAGGAAAACCCACAGGAACCAAAATATGACCTTGAGTCTATCCTACCTGAATTTCAGAACTATCTCAGAAACAGGTTTGAGGCCTTGGACACTAATGAGTGAAGACCAAACGAGTTATGGGAAGATAGCAAGAATATCATCCAGGAAGAATTCAAAAGGCCATTGCAAAGACGGAGGAGAAAGAAAAGACCAAAATGATCACAATAAATACTGATACTCATGGTACAAAAATGGTTTCCCAAAGAATCTCATTGAGATTCATGTACTTACTAGAGAAAAGTTAGTCTGCTTTTCTTTTCTCCTAGGTTTTCCTGTCATTATGAAGTCATCTTTATTTCCCTACTGAATTTTTTATTCAATTTTCCCCTCCCTAGTGTCTCTATTGTATTTGACACCTTTTCTGTTGCATATCAATATTACTTCTGGTTGTAGACATGAAGTAAAGCTTACATATAGCATTTGCTAACTGAAATTTGTGTTTTAGCAATTAGAAATTTTGTACCTTACATTTCAGACTTTGTTTTCACTATTTAAACTTTTAACACAAAAATTCTACATGGTCACATATAATAGAATTGAAGCAACTC